CTCACTTGGTAGCCCAGGCTGGCCTCGAACTCACAGAGATCCGCCTGGCTCTGCCTCCCGAGTGCTGGGACTAAAGGCGTGCGCCACCACCGCCCGGCAACAAGGACTTTTCTTATTGGGAGCGGGGAACAATACTGAAGATTAAACTTAGGGCCCAGTGCATCTGAGATAAAAGATCTACCATGTAGCTACAGCCCCAGTCCTCACAAGGACTTTAAGAGGGAACCACAGGGATCAAGGGGGAAGTGTTAGGCTTTGTCCAGAGTTCAGGTAAATTGGGGCGTCATGGTATGAGGCTTCTGGGGTTGGGATGCTGGGACAGTAACTCACAGTTCAAATGTGTTCTCATTACCTCAGCAGATAAGACTGGTGTACAATTTGGGCTCAGCATTTGCTCAGAATTCCAAAGATATTTTCAATTGCTACATTTCATACAGTTCTCTATCTTAAACTGAGACTCATTTGTTGCTGCAAAATATGGTGTTTTCTTCATGAAATACAAATCATATACCACAAATGAAGTCTGCAGCAGTAAAACTCAATGTGTTGCATCGTAAAAAAATCTTTTTTAATGAAATTTTTAAATGATATTTTTATTTTCCTATGTGCATGGGTATTTTACCTGTGTGTGTGCCTGTGCTATCAATCCTGTGGAGGAGGTCTAGTGCTCTTCACTACTGAGCTGTCTTCCAGCTCTCGTGATAGGACATCTTGATTTGCTGCTGATTATATACCACTGAGGTATGACAACTGTATTTACCTCTTAGGAACTGTGGAATTCATCATGGACTCAGAGCACAATTTCTATTTCATGGAGATGAACACAAGGCTGCAGGTAGAACATCCCGTCACTGAAATGATCACCGGAACTGACTTGGTGGAGTGGCAGTTCAGGGTAAGAATGGTTTTCCTAGAACAATCAGTCGTGGGCTCTGGATGTAGCTTAGTGGTAGAGTGCTTGCTTAGCATGGGTGATGCCTGGGTTCAGTCCCTGGCACTACCAGAAATAAGATCAGTCTTGAGAATACATCATGCTGTGAACAACTTTGGGTATGACTCATTTTTTTGTGGTTAGGATGAGGACAGGAAAATGTAAGATTTAAAAAAAAAAAAAAAAAAAAAAAAACTGGCTAGGCAGTGGTGGCACATGCCTTTAATCCCAGGAGGCAGAGGTAGACAGATCTCTGAATTCAAGGCCAGCCTGGTCTACAGAGCGAGTTCCAGGACAGCCAGGACTACACAGAGAAACCCTGTCTTGAAAAACAAACAAACAAACAAACAAACTGCATCTGATGCTGCAATGTTTTTGGCACTTTAGGAACACAGATTCCAAATTTATCAATTACCTTCATCCCCTGCTTAGGCCCTGGGCTATAGGCAGGTGAGCTGTATCACTGTATCTGGTCCTGATCACAGGCCAAGCCTTGTAACCTACCAAGGCAGCAACATTGTGGACCATGTTAGATTTTAGAGGCAAGCCATGCTAGCCAGGATGAAATGACCTAAGGAGTTGGCAGTGAAGAGCGAGGGGCATGGTCTTCTAGCAGTAGAGTGATCCATGTACAGTACATCTGCAGACTGCTGTCAGCCCATGAGTAGGCGCTCAATTGTAGTAGCCATTCACAGCCAGTGTTCAGAAGGTATTGTAGTGTTTGACACTGTTGATGTATCTAACACACATACACACTCACACACTCACACGATCTGTAACTGTTCTAATAATATGAAAGTAGTAGTGTGAATATTCTTGATTTCCAGAGGATTCTTGGTTCATTTCATGTACTGAGTCTAAGGTATTTTTTTCATACTTTGATGATTAACTCATGACATTTGGGTAGCTTTGTCTTCTCAAAACTTCTGTGGACAATATTATCCTGTTTCTTTGGTGAATGGTTAGTGGTTTGGATTGAGCCAAAGGATCCTTCAGGGTCTATCTGTGGCATTGGAAATCCAGGCACAATGAGCTACTAAATATTAATAGTGTTGGAGAAAACTAGCAAGTGTGTTTGTTTCTAGAATCAAGAAGAGGGATTTTTTTCCCTGATGCAGTAACCATGTGATCCTATGGGCTGCTTGCACCCGAAGACACTTCTGAATGTGGCCCAACAAAAAAATTGTAGTTACTTAAAACATTATGAGGGGTTGTTGGTGCTGCTGTTGTTTTAATTATAACTTCATTGCAAAGTTCTCAGGCATGAACTTAGTAGATGACACCATCATGTTGCATTGTCAAAACGTTGGACACCTAAAAGGATTTTAAAATCATAGAGGAACTTTGTCCCTAAGCATTTAGGAATGAGAAGGAAAACCAGGGATGTTTTTTCTGGATCTTAGGAAATTGCAGGAGTTTCAGAAAAGGAATCGAGCTTTCATCATCCAGAGCACATTCCAGAAATGAAGGAACTGGGGCCTGACATGGGGCATGAGGTGCTCCATAAGGACATAGGGAAAGCAGGGGACCTTGACAGTTGATGAGTCGAGAAGTGAGGCTTCAGGCCTGCCTCTAGAGTCAGAGACTTCTTAAAAAGAGGGCTCAGTGATTCAACAGCTGAGTTCAGGTTACAGCACAGATGGCCGCCAGCAGGACTCGGGGGATGCTGGGAAATCTGCAGCTACTTCGTGTCTCTCTGAGAATGAAAATAACACAGCATTCCCAACCTGAAGGTGTGGTTAGGACCAGTCTCTCCTGGACTCTGATGGGAAGCCAGTGTCAGAAAAAAAAGAAAAAGAAAGAAAGAAAAAAGAAAAAAGAAAGCCAGTAAAAATAAGCCAGTTTGAAAATGGTCTGTATAACAAGAAATAAGGTTATATCCTAGAAGATGCAATGCATGGCCAACACTTTTTTCTTTGGCATGTGAAGACAATTAGAACTCCCTAGCTTATCAAGAAGAGTTTCATTTTGAAACATAGAAGGAAAGGACACCAGCAAGGACTTCTGTGGTTCTTACTGTAGCCAGACTCTGAATACAAACGCTTGAAAAATTCCCTGGGCAGGGTGAGTGTGGGGCCAATGGAGCCCAGGCAGTGTGGGTATGGAGACTGTGGCCTGAAACACCACCAACACACTTGATTTAGTTAAATCTACTTTGGTTTTGTATTGTGTGTGGTTCCTGACCTTTCTGTTCTGAGGAATGTTCTCATCTCTGTTGTGGGGTTACCTTTTCAGTTCAGAATCATATTGTTACTCTTTTCTCCTGTGTCTTCCATGAGTTGTTATTATTATTATTATTATTTTAATCTTGGGGGGAAATTGAAGAGAGGATGTGTCCACATATCCTCTATTACATAAGTTTTCAACCTGTGGGTCATGACCCCTTTGGCAAACCTCTGTCCCCAAAAATATTTACATTCCATTATAACATTACATTATAACAGTAGCAAAACTATAGTTATGAAATAGCAACTAAAATAATTGCTCCACAATATGAGGAACTTCATTAAAGGGTCACAGGGTTATGAAGGTTGAGAACCACTGCTCTATTAGCTTTTTCCAAGTAATACTAATTGAAGGGTAAAAATATATTAAATTGTATATAAGAGCCAAGATGATAAGTATTATAGTAACAGTGGATGATCATAGTTCTCCATCTTGTGATCTGAGTTACACAAACATCTTGTTCTTTCTGCCTTACTCGTCACTCACTTGCTGGTGAAAATAGTGTAGATAGGCTGTTCACACTTTCTTTGTGGGTGTGAATGTAATTCCAGACACCGAGTGAAATATAAAGATGATTGGGGAACTGAGTATTATATTGTAAATGTAAACAGTGTCTTACCAGTAAGAAAGTTAGGTTGTCATGGTATTAAACACTGATTTTTATACTTAGAAATTAGCCTTCAATTAGGCGTTCTCTACTTTAAAACTCTGGAACCCATGGTAATTAACAGATTATCCCTACATTGACTCTGTTTAAGGGGATGGACAGCACAGATTTCATTTGACTGCTTTATAGAATCCAGACATCCATTTTCACAGGGTATAAGCAAGACCACTGACCTGTGAGTCTGTTAGTAACTCTAACGTGCATTTTCACAAGAGGCTCTATTTTGTTACCAGATTGCAGCAGGAGAGAGGATTCCCTTGAGCCAGGAAGAAATTCCTCTGCAGGGCCACGCCTTTGAGGCTAGAATATATGCAGAAGACCCTGACAATAGCTTTATGCCAGGGGCTGGACCACTGGTTCACCTCTCTACCCCTCAGGCAGACATGTCTACGAGGATTGAAACTGGAGTAAGGCAAGGTAACACTAAGTGAGATCAAAGCTATCGCTGTAACTAAATTCGCAGTAAGTTACTTTTCTCTAAGATGAGGCCATACTGTGTTGGCCAGACTTAAACTCCTGGGCTAAAGTGAGTCCTGCCTTCGCCTGCTAATGCTCACACCACCATACCCAGATTTAACTGCATTATCATCTCGTGTGTGTGTGGGGGGGGGATGTTTTACATTTTATTTATTTAATTACTTTGTGGGGTTTGGTGGGTTGCTGTATGTATGCCATGTGTGCATGTGGAGGCCCTGGGACAACATACGGGAATGGTTTCTTACCTATGGGCACAGGGGATTGAAGGCTTGGAAGCTAGGAGTGGAAATAAGTTTAATGTGAGCGGGTAGGGCTTCGCCTTGACCTCCACAGAGAGAAAGGACAAAAAGATAGGCTGAGGAAAGCCGGCCCATGGGTCACTTAAGCACATGATAAAGCCTTGTTAGATTTTGGACAAGTTTTTAAATCCTCCTGAGCCTTGGTTTCCTGGAAATCAGATTGTGCTGAGGGCACCTGCCATGCAGGAGTTGGTGAGGATGAGCGTGAAGTGATGGGAGGAATGTGTTGTGCTGCCCTGCCTCATTCCTGAGTGGTGACATGGACAGTGTTTCTCAATTCCAGGAGATGAAGTCTCCGTGCATTATGACCCCATGATCGCAAAGCTTGTCGTCTGGGCCGCAGATCGCCCGTCAGCCCTGTCGAAACTGAGGTACAGCCTTCATCAGTACAACGTGAGTGAGCCGAGGCCTGTGCCGATGCCCTTCCTCGGCAGAGTGACCCTTTGTCTTCCCCAGAGGCTCCTGTTCTCACCTCACTCCTGCATTCCAATGTCAGACACAAAACAGGTCTTCACAGGGCAAGTCCCCAAGGGCGAGTGTAGGCTTTGAGCACATCTTTGTTTCAGTTAGGAGGAAAAGGATAATAGACATAGAGCTATTAGTGTCAGTGCTACATTCTAGTGAAATCCTAGGCATCCGTAAATAAGGCCAACTATAGAAGTGAGTGTAGTCAGTTTTCTTTAAAACAATCAATACTTACTTTCATCCATTTGACAGTTTGTTTTTCTGTATCACATTAATTTTCCTGGTGCAAAAGTCCCAACCCCATTAATTTCACTTCATAGAAGGATTTATGACACATGATTTTAAAATTATTGGGTGTTATTAATCTGCATCAATTTTCGTGGCTCTCACACTATGACTATACTTGCTCTCCCCTGAGTGCCCCCGTGTGGAGAAGTCTGTTGCCTCCCCTTTGGCGTGTCTTTACCTTATACTGTCTGCTGACTGTCCTCGGTCCTGCTCACTCCTCAGACTCCATTTCCAGATGTTCCGTTTAGAGCAGGACACTTGGATGTCCTCTGCCCCCTTGGCCAGCCTTGGTCCCTGTAGCAGCCTTTGGGAGGCAGGGGCTGCAACTGTTTTCTCTCACTGTCCCCAGAGCGTGTGTCAGATCCTGGCACCTAAAACTGCTCAGTAAATGAAATCAGGAATGGATGATTGAGTGAATGAACACATGAACCCACAGTCACCTTTACCTTGAATCCTCTTATCATTGCTTTTTGAGAGGAGGTGATTAGGGTTGATGATATTCCTTTTTTAAAATTTTTATATCCATGTATGAACTTTGGATTTTAGTGTTGGAAGGAAGTTTCTTTCAAGCTGTTTATTCTTGTTTCCTCTCCAATATCACATTGCATTTGCATTTGCAGTCATCCTATTTTGTGGAATGTTCTAAATAACAATCTTTGATCTCTTGAAAATAAATTCCATGTCTGTTTTTGACATTCATCATTTCCCTAACCTAAGCCAATTAAATGTTTAACCTGAGCCAATTAAACACCCCTGCTGTCCCACGTCCCACATCCTGTTTCTCTTGTTAAGCTGGATTTTGAAGTGTAAGTCCAGATATGCAGTGATAAATCGGGTGACAGTTGAGTGTGACCCTTCTCCACGTGACACCTCAGTGGGTCCTAGAGCAGATGCTTTTCTGGATATATTGTTTTCCACACTCAGCAGGACCCAAGTTTGCTTCTCTTCCTAGATTGTCGGCTTGCGCACCAATGTGGACTTCCTGCTCCGGCTGTCTGGCCACCCAGAGTTCGAAGCTGGAAATGTGCACACTGACTTCATCCCTCAGCACCACAAGACACTCCTGCCCACCCACAGCGTCATAGCCAAAGAGGCTGTATGCCAGGCAGCTTTGGGGCTCATCCTCCAAGAGAAAGAGATGACCAGCGCTTTCAGACTTCACACACAAGGTACAGAGCACACTTTTCTTCCCTTGCTATAGTCTCTGAATCAGCAAGAAACATGCTTCTCTTTCTGTGTGTCTTTCTTGCCTTTTCTGCTTCCACTGACTGATCCTATTATATGCAGATATTTTTCAGTGTGGAAAAGAACTCTGGAATAGAACTCTTCATGTATCACAAGTGCATCATAAGCATAAGTACATACATCATAAGTGCACAAATAAGCACTACTGAACTCAGTAGATGTAGCTCGAACAATGCCCTAACATTGCAGAAATTGCTCTCTTTCTAACTGAACACTGGTTCTTTCTGTATCGTGTTCTGATCCCTGTTGACTCTGCATTCAGCACTCCGGGTGGTTTGCTCCATTGTACCCACTGTACCTACAGCAAAGCCCCTGGTCGCCCCGAGTCTGGAACACTGGAGATCCAGATTGCTCTGAGCTAGCTGTGTTTCATTGAGTTTCTTCTTCCTCTTTTTCCATCCCATAATTAAATTTCTGTCTGGATAGAGATTTCGGTCCTTCAGGGTGTCAGAGGATAGATATGCTGTGGAAGGATCTGTCCTGGTTGTCACATGCTTTCCTTCTCCAGCATGCTCTGATGGTTGCCCAATCTTTTCCTGGCAACTAGTTGCCTCATAGGATGGTGTATTATAGCTCCAGTCAGCTCTGCATTGAAAGGTCCCCCAACCCCTGCCCCCACCACCCCCAAGCTAATACAAAATCTGCATTCTCAAACTTTCCCCTAGTATTTACTCAGGATAATGTTGAACATTGGATTAAACATAATTTTAAGTCTATTTCTCTTTTATTATTAGAATTATTATATTAAATTTTTTGTTTTTAGCTTATTTTTATTTATGTGTATGAGTGTTTTGCCTGTATCTGAGTCCGTGCTCTGTATATATACAGTGCCTGTGAAGGCCAGAAGAGGGACCCTGGGACTGGACTCAGGGATGGTTGTAAACCTCCATCTGTGGGATCCCGCCTAGGCTGTTGGGAAGAGCAGCTGCTGCTGCTGACCACTAAAGCCGTCTCTTAGCCCTGGGATTGTTATATGTTCTTGCCTCCTGTCGGATTCTGTTGTTAGCATCTTTGATTTTGGATTTTTTTCAAATCATTGTATTGAAAGCTTAAAGAATGCAGCTATGTCTTTAGATTTGTTTGCTCTATTCTTACTTTGCTCCTTTACTTCTTAAATTTATAATTATCACACTTACAGGCTCCACACTAGATGGCTTCAGTTTAGTTACACCAGTCTCTGGGTTGTATCCAGCAGAGCATGCACACCTCAGCACATAGAGCTGAGCCAGTGACACAGAGACCCAGTGAGAGGAAAACAATGAATGTTAGAGACTGGGGCAGGGTGGGGACCGCTGTGCCACCAGAGGACAAGAGCTGACTTACAAATAATCAGATTCTTCCAGAGAAGCTGGGACTTGTCATATGAAAGTCTCTGAGACGTAAGTCAAGAGTATCTACCTTAAATTTCAAATAGTAAGAACTGAGCTGCCAATTGAGGACCTGTGGTTTAGATTTGCTTTTGTAGAGTATACTTGGGAGCTTGATACTTGTAATTTTGTTGTTGCATTTTAAATTTTTTCTAGATCAATTCTCTCCGTTTTCATTCAGCAGTGGGAGAAGACTGAATATCTCTTACACCAGAAACATGATTCTGAGAAGTGGTAAAAATGGTAAGTAATGTTTCATTACAAGAGAAATGTAGAAACATAGCACAAAAACACTTCTAGCCTGGTCATGCTCAGTCAGCTGTGAGATTTTAAATAGCCAGTGGAGTTGATTGGCAGGGTCATGGGGTTAATGGTGTACATTCTCTCCCTACTTCTGAGCTTTTAAGTATTCTAAAAATATGACGTAAGTCATACCAATAAACAACTGAAGTGAAATGTGACAAAGTAGTAATGAGGAGACCAGGGTCTGATCTGAGGCAAGGCCTTTCTCCTCAGCTCTTGGTACTTTTTATTGCTCTGCGGGCTTTCTGCTCTAAGAACATCGCTTTTAGATAAGAAAACAGTGTTCAAAACTGTCGGGGACAGAGGGTCACCCACTCACTGTTCATGCAGTGCCTTGAGATCCGTGTGGACTGGGTCACTGAAGAGCTGTTGTTTAGTCTATGTCTCATTGTATGAGTGTTTATCTTCACCACAACATAATGAGGGGGAACGAAGGGTGTCCCGGCTCACATGTGGATGGTGACGCTGAAGTCCAGAAGTAGGGTAACTTAGCAAGCCCAGGCAGGGCAGAGCATCATGGGTGCCCACTCCTTATGAAACTGACTCCATGCTTTTCCTAACAGTTTTTGGTTAGGTAGTTTGGTTTTTATTTTCTGTGTACTCGTTTGAGAAGGCTTAAAGACTAACTTACTTTAACTGAAGTTAGAAGACAGTGGCACCTAAGCCAGAAGAAGGTGGTTAATAAATCATGCCCAGGCAGGATACAGAGGATCTTAATCCTGTGATAGCCGGTCACCATCCCTTCTGCTAGAGGACAGTGTGCATGAGAAGCCAGAGTAGGTAAAGTATCCTGGATACGAGGATGTGAGGTATCCTTGAGCTCTGGCAGCTCTCATAAAAAGCAGGCGAGCTGGCTAGAGCGGCTCCCTCCAGCAGATCAGTCCCCCTCTTCTCTGAGGAGAGCAGGACCTTTTGACTCTAAATATCATAGACATCATTACAGTGTAGCAAATACTTCTTCACAAAGCGATTGCATTGTGACCATTATGTCACCCTCAGCCTAGGTGGACATTGCTAGAACTATACTGGGTGATCTCCAAGCCTTCGCAAAGAAAGTTTGTAAACACCTCTCCACTCCATAGCATAACTGGTGTTATCCCTGCATCTTGGGTTAGAGTGTTTACTCATATCATCCTAAAAAGCAGCCTCTAAAATCTGAGGATGTCTTGTTAGCAACTCCTGCATGCTGACTGCACACATCAGTGAGGAAAATTGCAGTGACCTTTGCAACCTAAATTAAACAGACAAATCACATATTCCACTGTAATTCAGATGAGCCAGCTGTGCTATTTGGCATGGGTCTTCATTAAACCACTGAGTAGTATTTTGAATTATGCTGAATTTTATTAGAATTAAAAATGTTTTAATTTAAAAATAAATAAGTATGTAATTGAAAAGCCAACATGATTGCTGTTCACTATATACTTTTACCACTATTCCACAAAGATAATCTGATTCTGAATATAACTCACTGGAAACGTTCTAAGGAGTCCTTGAAAACTGCTAATGAACAGTGGCCAGGAGAGTATCCCAGACAGGAAGCCCCAACATATCTGTGAATCTAAAGCAGAAGCAATTTTCAGTTTTCTTAAAGACAATGACCAAGTATTTCAATGCTATGTTTATGACCTGAATTTTTGTATATTATTTTGTTACTGTTGGCCATGTTTTTCAGAACCCAGTGTTGGCTCTCGATAATAATGATAATAGCTTACATTTATTGAATGTTTTCAGATACAGTATTAAACATTTTCCTGAGATTATCTCATTTGCATTTTGGAACAGGCCGATAAGATTCATGCTATTACTAGTGCCACCTTCGTTATCAACAACTAATCTTTCTTAGCCAAGGACCACTCAGGTATCAATCATTTTCCAAAGGTCATAGAAAAATAATTCAATCCAGGGTTCGACCCCACACCCTGAGGAATGTATACTTACATAACACTACACTCTGCTAAATTGCCACGCCTTGTTAAATGTATCACAAGCTGTTTAAGATTCTCTGGTGGGAAACAAGAGTAACTGGAGGAGGGGATAACTATTTCACTCTGTGGAATTATAATCAAACCTTTACTATATGCTTTCATGTCACTTAAACACTTAATATTTTGTAATGGAAAGAAAAATGATCGGTGTAATTGGAAGCATTTAAAAATTTAAAGCATGCTTATAATATGTAGGGTGGAGAATTTTCACCCACCCAGTGTAAAGCTTGTGAAAACAGTTAAACTGATAGATGTTGAGAAAAGTAAGTTAGTTTGTGTGTGTGTGTGTGTGTGTGTGTGTGTGTCTAGGATTCTGCCATTAGGAAGTGTATATGGTTGGAATGTGGGTGTTGTAGTACGTGAAGGTGCAGGCATGGGGTTATTGGACTTTATTTGTAAGCAGTTTCAACTTTGCAGTTTTTTTAAAGAGAAAATTTCTCATAAACTGGGATGAAGAGAGAATCATAACTGTTTTATAGGTAAAAGTCTATTAATGTTCAAAAGAGTGAATTCAAAGACCTACTACTGTGAACCTGGTGTAAATAAGTTTACACCACTGTGATGTGAGGAGATGGGGAAGTAGGAACCATGAGCAAAGAGGCATATGGGAGTATCAACTGGTCCATTTTCCAATTTGCTTAGAGCTGAGTCACACATAGAGGATAGGTATAAAACGAAGCTGAGAGTTTCGGACTCTACATATAATGAACATGCTTTAAGTTTTTTAGGAGAAAATGCCTCCGATTACACCAGATCAATTTTCTTTCCATTACAAAACATTAAGAGTGTTTAAGTGACATGAATGCAAGCAGAATTATAGTAAGGATTTGATAACGTCACAGAGTGAAATTGTTATTTCCCCCACTCCAGTTATTTTTGTTTCCCACCAGAGAATCTTAAACAGCTTGTGATACATTTAACAAGGCGTGGCAATTTAGCAGGATGTAGTGTTATGTAAGTATACATTCCTCAGGGTGTGGGGTCGAACCCTGGCTTGAATTATTTTTGTAATTAAAAATTCCTGGTAATTACAAATTCCCAGGACAGTAATTTGAATATGGAAATGAAAGGGTTGAGATGGGAAGCAGGGAGGGCCCAGAAGATGCCTTGAGAGCCAGTCAGCCTAGGTCAGGAAGGACATCAGGAAGGCAAGGAGGAGACTCATAGGACAGGTTTTAGAAGGAAAGAAATGTTATTAACGTGTACAGCTCTAGTCACAAAAATGTTATTGTTAACATTCCCATGCCTGCTTACTGGCCAGACAATGAAGGGACACAGACAGCGTGACTTAGCCAAGACCACAGAGGCAATCAGATGGGAGGTTTGGGTCTCAAGCCAGACCTTCTCTTTGCTAGTTGATTGCATTTTCTGCACTATCACTATAACCTTTTGTGTGCAGGTGAAAATATATAAAATACTAAAAGTGCATTTTCAAAAGAGAATGGTTTGCCAATCTACCTGTGCTGAGCCTGGTCAGGGGCTGCTAAGGAAAACATTGTCTCCCCTGGAGTTAAGATGGTGCCTTTTCTTGCAATACCGGAGTAACTTAAGAGTTGAGAGGGGGAAGTTCATCATCTCCATTGTTTACATAATGTTTTCTTCTTTTTTTTTTCTTCTTCAATTTTCCCTTATTCCATAAAGATATAGTCATAGCTGTGACGTATAACCATGATGGGTCATATGACATGCAGGTAAGCCTTGTTGGTTCTGGTCTGTAGCTCAGAGCCAAATCCTATCTTTCTCATACTGAGTAGGGTTGGTTTTCCTTCTCAGGTTTTCCTTAAGCCGTTGACCATTGTAACTGTAATGAGAATGCCATGTGCTTCTATTTCAGAGCAGTTTGAGGGACTCACCCCTGTATTGTTTCTAACCTGTTTATTCAGTTTGGCTATGATTTCTGTAAGCATAAAAACTTAGCAAAAAGAATAACCTTGAATTAAACAGCTAATAAGCCCCTCAGGTATGTGTGCACATTTCACCAAAATAGCGGCACTCAGATTTTTGAGATTAGGAACCCAATACACACTTAAAATTATTGAGAGGTCAGATGTGCAAAGAGCTATTAGAAAACTTAAGAAAATTAGGTGTACAGCTTACTGGCACAGATATATTCTTGTTGTATAACCATTGCCACCACCCATCAACAGATAAAACAAAAACTTTCCTATCTTTTCCTCTAGTTTTTGACAATTTCCATCATAAATACAATGTATTGTGAACACCTCTTCCATTGCCTTCTCTTATTCCCCACCTCCACCCCACCCGCCAACACTTCCTTCTTCCCACCTAGTCCCCCCCCAACTGTCATGTCTTTGTTTAAATCCACTGAGTTAGTTAGGGTTGCGTGTATAAGCACCGGTAGGGAGCTATTTGCTAGAGGCAACTCACAGCTGCTTACACCACTAAAGGAAATGATACCCCTTCCCAGCAACCATTAACTGCCAATCGCCCCTCTCCCCCCTCCTCCTCTTTCTCCCCTGGTAGACCTGGGGCCTCATAGGCCTTCCCCCATCCATGATGAAATGTTAAAGAGACCAGTCTTGTGCAGGCCTTGTGCAGGTATGGCTGTTGGAAAAATGCCACTAGGAACAGGTGCACAGGTAGTGCTTCAAAGTTGTTTAATTGTGTGTGTCCACAAGTAGATTGCTACATCATGCAGTGATTCTGTTTTTCATTTTTGAGGAAGTACCATGCTGTTTCCTGCAGCAGCTGCAGCATTTGCATTCCCCCCAGTAGCGCACAGGACTGTTTCTGCATCCCGGCCA